AACATGACTTTTTAAATACAAATTGGTCGGGACAAATTAACCATAATGAAAGATAGGGCTATCAAGCCTCCTACGGCCCGCGGGTATGCGCTAGGTGCGCAGCCCGCCCCCTTGAGCCATATAACATCAACTATTACCGACCGATCTTACTTGACTGAACCTTAAACATCAAATAAGAGCCAAAGGAAACAAAATTGCTCATGACTTATATTCAGCTCATAAGCTCATGCCTCATGGCCGCCCGTAGCTACGTGCGATCGGCACTAGCTACGGCTTTGGCCAATTCACCGGCAATCCTCGACTTTACTCAGCAAGTTCCATCATATTAAACATCAATTAGACTAAACTGAACATTTAGGCAATCAAGGTTCGAAAGTTGCCGGAAGAAATTGAAAATCGTTCGGTGATCATCATACTTAAACATGATCGGCCATAAGCACGGTTTAACTAAAATTCTCACATAAGACTCGAACACTTAATCTTGAAATAACCTTACTATCACGAAAAAGGGATCAGTATCATTATACCTTCTCAAACGCACAAGGAATTTGCAAGCTGAACGAAGCCTCCAGTGAGCCGTGCGTACGTGCGGTAGGACTTGTCTTGCCGTGCGATATGCAAAATAACTTAGGGAAAATTTGGATGAACTTGCTGCTGTTAAAGGGAGTGATATATGCTGGATAAAGGCTGCTATCTTCTAAGGGAAAGTGACGAAATTTTCCAAAGTGAGGTGCTTATATAGATGCACGGCCGAGAGAGGGAAAAATGAGGTGGTGATGATGGTGTTATGTGGCCATCTTAAGAGATTAACATTTGTATCAATATGGGATCATTAGTGATGACTAATTAGCCTCTTCTTATGCCACGTTTTATGCTTAATTTGAGGAGAAAATTTGATGACCGAGTGATGAAGGAAGCTACGGCTTTCATGCAATATAAGGCCAAATATTTGAAACTCACGGCATTAGGGCTTTGTAATGGTATTAATCACCATTATTTACTAACCTTATGTTTAATTTATTAATTAAACATAATACTTAATTACCAAAATTATTTCGGACGTAAACGGTACGTCGAAAATAAATTTCGGTAATTCCGACTGAACTTAATTAATTCCGGAAATAATAAACGATAAACATTATTATATCGGAATTAAACGTAATTTTTACTAATAATATCTCGGGATATTACATAGGGACCTCTCTCTCGTCAGGCAGACCCTCACCCAAGACAGTAGGATGAGAAACCCGACGGTACCACAACAAGTACTCCGGATCGGCTTCCCCTCGATCATCTGGGGGCGACCCTACACAAGTTGGTGTTGACAGTCTGCGACATCGGGAACTGGTTCCACATATTTACTGCGCCGACATCAGGATGCTCGACTTTGTACAGCCTCGACTGCCAAACACAATAATAATTGTTAGTTAATCATTCACGATTATAAAATTCTAATTAATCGTGTATAAAATTATAAATAATCATCTATACTACCTGCCAAGCACGGTTTACAGCGGTCGGCG